CCCCTGCGCGGGAGACCACTTCCCTGGATGCACCTCCTGCCCAGGGTCCCGCCCGCTGGACGCGCCCCCTCAGCCGGGATGACCACCCCCGGACCAGCTCTCTGTCCCCGGGTGTCCGCATTGCGCCGCAGGGGCGACGCGGGCTTCCGGGACTGGAGGAGCGGCGGCGCGCGGGGCCGAGCACTGTCCTGTGCGCCTCCGCCTTTCCTGACCGGGGGGTTCATGGATGGAGCGACAGGGACGTGGGCCCAGCGCTGTGCTGAATGCAGACGTACTCGCCGCGCCTAGAAACCGGCGCGCCCGACCCCCTGCTCCACGGAAGGGGCGGGACACTGAGGCACAGGGCCTGGTCACTTGCCCAAGTCACTCCATCAAGGGCGGAGCCAGGAGGCATTGTCGCAGCCCCTGCTCTTCTCCCGGCACTTAGAACCGCATTTGTTCTTGCGCTGAGGGATCTCCCGTGCAGCTGGCGCCCCCCGGCGCATCTGCCTCCCCTTTCAGGGATCTCAGCTCCCTGGTCTTGGCACCCACAGGCCCCAGGGCCACCTCATCACCATCCTCCCCGCCCGTCCTCAGGGAAACCCAGAGGCTGTGCATCCATGACGGTTCACAGCCCCTCCCAAATATGAGCGCCATGATCCTCGCCCCGCAGCCTCTTTGCCCCCCGTTACTCCTCCAACCCCCAAAGGCTTCTTGCCTCACCTCTACTGTGTCCATCCTCCAACACTCGGTTGGGACCCCGCGGCCCAGGAGACACTGCCATTAACTACCACTGAGTGCTAGTTCTCTGCCGTTTCCTGTAATCGTCTGCTCCGCGTGTCTGGTCAGCCTGCTGTGTGTGTGTGTGTGTGTGTGTGTGTGTGTGTGTCCCTGCACCCCGTTAGTCAGGGAAGTCCCAGGAATGAGCATATAACTGCTCTGGGTGTATCACCCCTTCCACTGTTCTTTGAATTTTACAAGAACCCGGGAATGTAAACACACTCTTGTGCAGGTGCTGCAGGTGGAGAAACAGGTCTGGAGAGCTCTGGTGGGGTGCCTGGGCCACGCAGCCTCGCGGCCCTGCCGATTAACCGAGACCTCCGGGCTTACGCAGGCCTAGGTGCTCTCCCGGGCGGTGAGCGAGTCCAGGGTGGCCAGCGTTCTGTCCTGGGGCATCCCTCTCAGGGGGGCTCTGAGCTCTGCGCACAGCAGATCCTCAACAGCCCCGCACACTCTCCCTGTGCGTCAGCATCTACAGAAACAGGAGGCACGAACACACCACAGACATTCACGTGGCTTCGGTGCTTTGCTTCCCGGAAAACACTAAGCTCTTACAGAGGGCTGAGTGTGCAAACAGAAGCAGCAAGCTGCTTCTAGACCCGCTGGCCTGCTGGGGTGGGGTGGGCACAGCTGCTGCCGCCCCTGGACTAGAGGCCGTATCACACTGCCTTGGGCCCTGCCCTTTGGGGGACGGACCCCCCCTACACCCCTGCTCTGGCAACCAGAGTCCATGGCTGAGTCTGCTCAGCCCAGTCCCCGCAGGGTGGGCCTGGATCAGGCCCCAGAGGGGCAGCCTGAGCCACTTGGGCCTGAGGTGCCCTCTGCCCCCTCTCCTGAGCCCCTTCATGATGGGCGGGGTGGTCAGAGCAGAGCTGCAGGCATGTTGATGCCTCCAGGCGTGTGGACTCGGGATGGGGGCTTGAATCCGGCTCCCCTACTTCTGTCCACTGGACCTGGACACTCACACTCCGTCTGCCTCAGTTTCCCTTTTTTACCGAGTAGGGGTAACAGTTCCTACTTCCCATGGCGGTTGAGAGGAGTCAGTGAGTTAACACCTGTGCTGGCTAGCACCTGCCCTGCACACGGGAAGAGCCACCTCAGCGTCAGCGTCAGCGTCAGCGTCAGCCCTGTTCCTGCTGCTGCTCCTTGAGCCTCTGCTAAGGGCCAGGGATGTTGCAAACAGCCTTTGCTCCAGACACACATGCCTGCGGGGCCTTATTACCCCCTTCGACCGAGAAGAAAGTCCCAGAGAGGTTTTACATATCACATGATGTGAGGGTCACACATCAACAGAGAGGGAGTACCTGGAGACCAGATCCTGGGCTCTATCTCCCACCCCACCCCTGTGCCAGTGCGGGAAGGGCCGACAGAGGAGGCTGCCCTCTGCAGGCCACGGACTTCCACGCTCTCAGACTCGGTAATGAGGGAGATGTGGTCATGCGCTTCGATGACAGGACATCACAGCGACCTTGATCAGGGTCATCTCAGCAGACGGACCGGGATGGGAAGGGGGCCACGGCTTGGGGGATGAGGCTGAAAGAGGAGAGGGTGAAAAGCGAACAGCAATGACCCAGGCGGGTAGCAGCTGAAGGCGGCAGCTATGTGGGGGTGGAGGAGGCCTGGGCATTTTCACAGGCTGGCCGGGTCTGGCCGGCTGAGGCTCAGAGCTCCAGCTTGTCCGATAGAGCTGTGCTGCCCCTGATCCTGGTACTTACCCCTCCTGCTTCCCTCTCCTGGTCTGGACAGCAGGAGTGCTGGAACCTGGCTCCCGGGTTGTCACGAGGCTCAAAGGAGCTCACAGGTGGAGAGAGGGCCACCTGAACTGGCTCCAGGCCACCTTGGGCCCCGCACAGACGGAGTGAGGATGCAGAAACGGGACAGGGGTCCAGTGAATGCACGCAGCTCCTGGCGGAGGCTGAGGGGCCAGACACTGGAGCCAGCAGATAGCTTAGGGCATGAGGACACCATCCGCTTGGGGACAGATGGAGAGGGCCGAGGCCAGGTGTGGATGGGCTGGGTCAGGGGATGCAGCGGGAGGAGGCATTGAGGAACCCTGGGACACCTGCTGTCTCCAGTAGGGTTGAGTGGGAGATGTAGCTGGGAGTTTTGGTGAAGACGGAGCAAGGGAGCTGATCAGCGCGACCGTGGAGACCACGGAGCACCCAAGACAAGCCTTGGCAGTAAGTCCCCCGATCACTAACCTGCCACCTGCCAACCTTGAGCCTCCGCCTCTTCCTTTGGCCTCTCCCTGCCCTCTGTGTCCGGGGCTGGCTTTTGGACCAATAGTATGGATGGATGGGGGGCAAAGGCCGGGATGGCATGAATGGATCCAGAGAGAGGATGGCCTGGAGGTCTGGACGCCGGGGCCCTGGGTGATGCTGGAGCCTTTCTGCATCGAAGTGAGGGCCGAGTCTCAGTCTTGGGACTGGGTGCCCAGGGATGGGATGAGGACATCAGGTGAGCAGGGAGGGGCCAGGACCAGGTAGATGGATGGGCCCTGAGGACCCCAGATGCTGGCAGGAGTAGGCGTGACAATGTGGCTGCTGACCTGGCACCTGAGCCATCAGTGGATGGCGGGGGGTGGGGTGTAACCTGAAGGTCCACAAATTCCAGAGGTAGCACAGGGGAGGCTGGGCATGGCTCAGTGACAAACAGCACTGGGCGTTGTACCAGATTCCTGGGGCTGCCGTTCAAAGTGTCACAGCCTGGGAGGCTCAACAACAGAGATTTGTTGTCTCACACTCTGGAGGCCACAAGTCCAAGGTCAAGGGGTCTGCAGGGCCTCAGTCTCTCTGAAGCCTGCAGGGGAGACCCGTTCCGTCCGGCATCCGGTGGCGGCCAGCAGTCTTGGGTGTTCCTGGGCTGGCGGCTGCGTCACCCCCACCCCTGACCCCATCTCCACGTAGCTGTCTTCTCCCTTGGGCTCTCCCCGCTTCTCATAGAGCACAAATCATGTGGGGTCAGGGCCTCCCTGACGCCCTCATCTTAGCCCTGGCACCTGCCAAGACCCCATCTCCAAACAAGGCCACGTTCACAGCTACTGAGCCGCTGTGGTTAGGACTGGGGCGTGACTGCCTGGGGGCAGGGGACACAGTTCTCCCTGTAAGAGGTGGGTACATTCGTGCAAACAGCGAGGGGGCTCAGATGGTCCCCGGTGCCCACCCCCAAGCTTGCTGTGCACGGCAGGCTAGGGGGAAGGGAGGCTGGCTCCTGCCAGTCGGACTGGCGTTCCCCTGAGGTCGTGATGCTTCTCTCCCTCCCACTCCTTCCTCCCTCTTCCCCTCCTCCCTCCCTCTCCCCACCTCTCTCTTTCTCCCCCTCTCCGCTTTTGAAAGGCTGTTCCCACTCTCACCGGCAGGTGGCAGGGTCATCCACAAGGGCCTTCAAACCAGAGCACAGAGCACCGCGCGTCTCAGCGGGAAGTGCAGATTCTTACCTTGACTTCCAGATGTTGTGGTTTAGCGTTTTACCAAATCCACGGATTCCACCTTTGACATCTATCTGTCTGTGATGGAAGTGGGAGTCAGGGGAGCCACGGGGCCAGCACGTGCCCACAGGAGCCCCAAGGGTGGGACCTCAGAGCTGCTGAGGGCTCGAGGTGCACCGGGTTACAGCTAAAGGCAGAGCCGGAAACCTACTCTCCCCAGGCTGGAGGCCAGAAGTCTGAGGCTGAGGTGTGGGCGGGGCTGGTTCCCTCTGGAGGCTCCGAGGGAGAGTCTGTTCCAGGCCCGCCCAGCATCCAGTGGGTGCCGGCAACCCTGGGTGTCCCTTGGCTTGTGGGTACATCCCTCCCACCCCTGCCTCCGTGTGGCCACGTGGCCTCTCCTGTTTCTCCATGTGTCTCAAACATCTTCCTCTCATAAGGACACCTGTCCTTGTGTGCAGGGCCCCCCTAAGTCTGGGGCAAGACTATCCTGACATTCTTAACTTAATTACATCTGCAAAGACTCTTCTTCTTCCAAATCTGGTCGCCTTTGCAGGTCCTGGGGGTTAAGACTTAGATGTCTTTTGCGAGGGGCGGGTGGGATACAGCTCAACCCCGCCCCGCACATTGCTGCACCCCTCACCTGGCACCTGTGCGTGAGTGGGTGCGTCTCTGCTCTCAGGGTTGGTGGGTGGTCTGTGGCACCCTTCTTGATGCTGCCCCTGCCCCCATAAAGGGAGGTGGAGGGGGTGGGAGGGAGCCAGGCCTGGCTGTTCACAGAACAGCAGTCGCACCTGCTGCCCCAGCCCAGCTGGCCTGTCGGATCAGCGGCTGAGAGGGAACCGGCTCCAGGGTGCTGCCCAGCTGCTCCCGCTGCACCACAAGGGCGGAGGCGCCGAGAGGCACCACGGGTCGGGAATCCCCGTCCACCCTCCGCGCTGTGGCCCATCCACAGCCTGCTTAGATGGCTTCTTGGATTTCAGTTTCTCTTCCTGAGCAAATGAAGAGGTTTAGACACAGGCTTTGAACCGGAGCCCGAAAGCTTCCCATCCAGCTGGGAAAGTGTTTGGTGCAGGGTTTCAAATGCCAGGCTTTGCTTACAGGGACCCCTGTGGACACTCTGTGAGCACAAGGCCCTCTCCCCTGGGACCTGGAAATGCCTTTGGTGGCAATTAATTTGTTTGTCTTCCGGTCAGGACAAGTGTCTGAAAATTCATACAGCAGCCTGGATTCTCCTCCTGGCGTAGCTCAGGGAGCGCTCGGGGGCTGTGCTGGGCCGTCTGTGTGCGCCCCTCTCTTCCCCTTCCCTGGGACTCAGGCAGGACCGTGGGGCGGAGGGGCTGCAGCAGCTCCGGGAAAGCAGGCCGGACAGAGCCCTCTGCTGTGGGAGTGACCAGCCAAGCTGGTGAGACGAGCTTCCCCCTCCCCACGTTAGGGTGTTTTATTATTTCCAGCAGAGAGCGAGACAAAAACGTTGACAGGCAGTGTCTTTTACAAATGCTTCATGTAAAAAGCTCACTGTCAAGGCTCTCTTCCTGGCCGAAGTGTCCCCACGAATGCTCAGGATCGTGGTGACCACACTGCGTCTGGAGCTTGTCGGGGGTGCCAGGGTGGGGCCAGGAGGTCTTGTGCAGTTTGGCTGAAGGCCTTGAGGATGGGGGTTTGGGCTGAGAAACACCCCTGCAGAGCTCAGCTCGAAGGGAGTCTGAAGCCTTCGCACACGGAGGCCCTGTGGGTGCACCAAGGGGACCTGAGGGCTTCAGTCCACGCCCTACCCTCGGACAGTGCCCCGTGGTGCGGGATGAACGCCTTTCCTCCACCGTCAGAGTAAATCCCCCTCCACACTTCTTGCCCTTCTCAGACTTGCATCGCGGTGAAGATGCAGGTTCTTCTGGAATTAATGCACACATCTAATGCAATTCCAATAAAAAGCCCAACATGACACGGAAGGAAGTGGATAAAGGGACACCAAAGTCCATCTGGAAGAAGCATGGGGGAGAATCACCAGCATGACTTGTGGGGAAATAAAAGTGATGGCGAGGTCACCAGCCTGTCACCAGCAAACCTCGAGGGAATACCCTTGGGGCACGTGTCTCACCCCGGCGTGCAGGGCCGACAGCGGGACCCTGGGAGCTGGAGCGAGAATCAGTGGAAATACCCACAGACGCATTCTCCTTGCAGCTTGTCTGGGCTGACAGTTCTCTGTTGTGTCGGAAGAAGGAAGCTGGCCCGCTAACGGCACGGGGACAATTGGACAACCAAACCAAGCAGAGCTGCCCTTTCCAGCGCTCAGCCGGGTAATTTCAAGTGAAATGACATTTGCACGCCAAGATGTCACAAAGAAAGAAGCCCACGTCTGTGATCTTTCCCAGCTGAGGGCCTGTTTCTAAGCAGCAGGGGAAACAACAGAGCGACAGCCTTTAAGTTTGAGGACACAAAACCAGAAACTTATATCGTCTGCAGGCGCCATCAACCAGCCACCTTAGGACTGAAACTATAGACCACGAAAATGTTTGCTGTGTCCCACAAGCGGTCACTTTATGATGAAAATGGACAAACGTAGATAATTCTTAGGGAATATCCACTGCCTTCTGCTTAGCTGGATTGCGATAAAAGTTGTTTGAGTTAAATCTACTTAGAGAAGTGTATTGAGCACAGAAATACAGTTTGATTACTTGTTTCAAATATAAAATTGAAGCCCTCCCCCGCTGGTGGCATGTTGGTTGCTTGTGCAGGAACATACGCTAGAAGTTCAAGTCTGATGCTTGACTGTTCCCACGCCCTCAGGGTCCCAGATGAGGATGAGATGGGTGGGGGTCTGGGGGGAGCACCAGGTGCTGGGCAGTCTGTGTGGGTGGGGCTTTGCTTGGAGAGATGATCTTTGTGTTGTGGAGGTCCACACCGAAGCCCGAGGACTCCCGAGGGTGAGGGGCTGTGGCAGGTGTCCTAGACGCAGGGACTTCCATCCCACCATCTTCCCACCTGGCACCTGCCTTGGGACTGTTCACCTGGTGGCTGGACTTGGTGCCAGGGACAGTGGGGTGGGGAGAGGTGGGCTACCGTGATGCCATGACGTCGATGCTTCAGGGGACCTTCCAAGTGGGTGGAGGTGGGAGGGGGGCTGGAATGTGTACACAGTTCATGTCTTTTTGTCAAATTAGCAAAATAACATTTTTATATCACTTTTCTTAAAGAGGGCCCCAATTTTATATGTTTTAGGCCCCACCAAACCTGGACGCCCCTGCCCAGTGTCCTCCGTTTTATCCAGCAGGAACCACCCAGACTGTCTCCTTCTTCCTCTGAGAGGAAGAGGGCAAGGTGCATGGAAGTCCTGGGAGAAGCTGGGGGACAGTTGAAGGTGATCACTCATTCCTCCAGCACACACTGATCCAGCACCGTTTTGCACCCGGCTCAGCTCTGGTGGAGAAGGGGTCATGTGTAAAGATGGTTGAGCAGGCGGGTGCCAGGAAGCTCTTGGGCGGGAGCGCCCAGGGAAGGGCCACGCACTCACAGGACCCCTTAGGGCAGGTTCTGGGAAGCTGAGGCATCAGGAGAAGTGTGGGTTGGAACCCCGGTGTGGGCCAGCTCTGCCGCAGGACCCCAGCCAGGACCTCAGTCGCAAGACTGAGTGGGTGGGCACACAGGGTCGTGTCCGGGGCATCACGGAGCAGGGTGCTCCATGTGTTGGGGGTTTCAGAAGACATGAAATCACCCTGCCGTGGACTGAACTGCGTTATCACCAAATTCGTATGTTGAAGCCCTAACCCCCAATGTGCCTGTGTTTGGAGGTAGACCTTTGAGGAGGTGATTAAGGGTAAATGAAGTCACAAGGGTGGGGCTCTGATCCCAGTGGTCTGGTGCCTTAGGGAAAGAAGAGACACCAGGACTCACAGTCTCTCTCCACTTGCCACAGCCCATGCCCCCCATACCCCCCCAGGCGAGCACACAGGGAGAAGGCAGCCTCTGCAGGCCAGGAAGAGGGCCTCCCTGGGAACCCAGTCAGGCAGCATCTTGACCTTGGACGTCCAGCCTCCTGAACATGAGAAACCACCTGGGACACCCCCAGAGGCTGTCAGACTTGGGGGGACCTCTGTCTGCTCTCCGTGATCCAGTGGTGCTCTTAGAGTTACAGGCAGCGTGCAGCGGGTTTAGTAAGGGTGAGGGTTCCCAGAGCCAGACCGCCGTGTTCCATTCCCAGATCTGCTGTTTACAAGAGGCGACTCAGAGTGCAGCTCTCTCTCCGACCTCTGCTTCCCCATCTGTACAGTGGGGTGGGAGTCGGGCTGGCCTGAAAGGAACCCCCCCCTTAGATGATGGGCCTCTGGGTCTGGCATCTGCAAAGGGACTGCCTTTGCAGGGAGTGAGGGGCGGGATCTCTGATACCCGCCCCTTGGTTACTTGGGTTGCACAGGATCTGGGACTTGCAGCCTGAGAGAAGTGGGCAGCGGGGTGCTGGGGGTGAGGACCCGAGT